CGTAGCATCAAATTACACTTACTAAGAGCTTAATTTTAAATAAGCAGATTGAGAAACTTTGTACGTAACATCTCTTGCGTTGTTTGCTTATTGTAGTAAATCGACTCTTTGTTCCTCATAGGTACACGTCCGGTAACACAGGATTTTGGTATTCACTTTTTTAATAACCAGAAAATTTGGTGAACGTGTTGGGTAGGTGCTTACCAATAAAAATCGTGTGTAGCACTACAGTAATAAAACAATAAATATAACAGTTTTCAACTATTTTGGGTGCTTAGCCCAAAACTCTTGTTACAATTTGTACCGAAGCTGTTCCAGTTCACAAGCCACCATGAGCATATAAAGCATTTAAAAACCTCAAGGGATGGCTCCGTTGGGAGGGCTTTGAATTTTTTAACCCCTTGACCTCATTGTCACTCACTGACAAAGCCAAGTTCACATGCGATAGCGAGATGGTCGCTTCCCCATTTCTGCAACATTTCACCGGTCAGAGACTTGTAGAAAATTTTCCTAAGTAATCACGGTTTTGAAATATTCAAATTGAACAGAGTCTTGAAAATGAGAGAAGTAACTCAAGAAAGCAAAAGGGTTCAGAAAAAAAAAAATCAATTAAATAATACTAATAGTTAGCCTAGAAAAAATAATGTTATGAATACCTCGCTTGGGAGTCCACCTGTCCTTCTTAAAACATCAGTTGGCAACGTTTCAAGAACCCTCACAGGAACGAGTTCCTTGGTGTGCCTGGTTCGACACCTCTGGTTAACAATTTTTTAGTTCGTAATATAAAGTGTAGATAGATCACAACAGACTTACCATATATAATCAACAGTTCCTAGGAACCTGGAATGATACGTTGTTGCCAATGGTTCACCGTGCTGATCTCTCGTTCTATGGGTACCCTGAAAGGTCTCTGATCTTAGAAAACTAGTAGACTACAAAATTATACAGCATGCTGCTTTCCCTATACGTTTGTTAAAATCTAGTATAAAAGAGAGCAACTGTTTCTAAAGCTGCTCTGAGTTACCCAAATTTCTTTTCCTATTCTTCAGGTAATGGAAACTTAATTTAGTTTTCTAGCAGGCAGATTTCAACTCTTTTCGATGCATCCGGCCATGTTTTCTGACTGAGAAGACTTATTCATAGATCAAATGTCTCATGCAGTAAAGAACAAGAAATAAAAAACACTTACAGGAACTCCAGTATATGCGCTGTGAAGATTCAGTTGATGTTGGACATGCGTAGTCGCTTGACCACCAGTTGCAAGCTGTAGTTCTTCCTGGCTCCATTCATTGGTTTGTGATCCTGAGATGGATACCCCAGCACTGAAAAATGGGGAAGTTGTTTACTTAGACTAAATACACATAGCAAGGGCCAAAGTAGAGGATATAAGCGACCTACAGGTCATCAGATTAACAGAGAAGACACACAGATACATTACTTATAGAGAAACCAAGCATCACGGCGAATAATCCAATTACCTAACTGCATAATGGTTTCTAAATGACCTCCCCTTTGGATCAAGTTCAGACTGACCAGAAATTTGCCTACGGTCGTGGAGTTGTGTATCCAACTGTCCAAAATGAAAAAGGAATATATAGAGTTCATTCCAACTTTTCTAGCGAAGAAGGGGGAAAAACGAGCAGGAGAAATGTCAAAGCAAGAGTCCAGGGCCCTCAATGAAACT